CCTCACTACAAGAAAGACATTGAGGTGCTGGAGTGTGTCCAAAGAAGGACAACAAAGCTGGTGAAAGGTCTAGAGAACAGGTCTTATGAGGAGCAGCTGAGGGAACTGGAGTTGTTTAGCGTGGAGAAGAGGAGGCTGAGGGGAGACCTTCTCATTCTCTACAACTACCTGAAAGGAGGTTGTAGCCAGGTGGGTGCTGGTCTCTTCTCCCAAGTAACAAGTGATAGTACAAGAGGAAATGGCCTCAAGTTGTGCCAGGGGAGGTTTAGATTGGATATTAAGAAAAATTTCTTCACCAAAAGGGTTGTCAATCATTGGAACAGGCTTCCCAGGGAAGTGGTTGAGTCACCATCCCTGGAGGTGTTGAAAAGACATGTAGATGTGGTGCTTAGGGACATGGTTTAGTGGTAGACTTGTCAGTGCTAGGTTAATGGTTGGATCCAATGATCTTAGTGGTCTTTTCCAACCTAAACGATTCTATGATTCTATAGTTCTTCTTCCAAATGGTAGCAGAAGGGGATAATGGCTTGTATTGGAAAGATTTAATGTGGCCACAGTAGGAGTGGCAACCTTTGGAGGCTTGAACCCCCAGACACGCTCCCTCTGTGCTCTGGTACTACATTCGCACACACTCACATGCTTGCTGCAGACGTGCTCAAGGTGCTAAGCCTGAAGCGTGGGCTTGGAAAAGCATCAGCCTGCCCACGCAGGCTGGACCAGAGTTTTCACTTACACTGGGAATGTCAGTTAAGTGGTTCGTTTAAAGGAAGCTACAACTAAACTAGTTCCTAAAATAGCAGGGATGGACTTATGTGTATATGGCTAAATCATTTTGGTGAGGATCAGGACTGAGCTATAGCCTGGTGACAGCTCCTGGCTTAGTATGGGAGAGGAATACTTCTTGTGTAACTCATGCCCTCAGTGGCTGGCACAACTGAGTAGCTACTGTACAAGCTAGACACATGCCACCTAGCTAAAATTAATTTTTGTTAAATCTTATTTTGGTTACTGGCCTAGTGTAAAGGTCATAAGGACCCAGCTCTCCTTGATACTTGACAGTCCTGACCTGGGCCTCACAAAGCTCATAAGCAGAGATAAAGAGTTAAGGGCATGAAGGTCCACCAACACTTACAACTCCCAGTTCAAATTAGCCCCCAGAATAAGAGTTTTGCTGCATTGAGGCCAAGTGCCCAGCATTTTGCATGATGACCACTAAAGGAATTACATGTGTTTCATATTTCAGGCAGATGTTGGATAACATGCTAATTAAAGTACATTAGTAGTCTGAGATCAGTCTTAGTGAGGTTATTTACATTTTTAAATGCGAGTGAGGGTTCAGTCACACTCCCATTTGGAATCCCCATATGAAGTCATGTTGCTATATTGTTATCACATTCTGTTCTGTCAGGACATTAAGCTGTACTGCTGTCTATTTAGTCATTCTGTGTGGCAGGTTTAAGTCTACTCTGCATATTCAGGTCAGCTTTGGACACTGCTATACAAATGTACATTATTTCATACAGATACCCTAGTGTTGTCATCAGAAACTGATGAGCACCAAGGTTTTTTTAAACTTGTTTTCTTTTGCAGACCCGAAAAGAAGTGTGACCAGCCAATGTGCGAAGAGCATGAAGATGAGAGAATTAATATCTATTGTTTGAACTGTGAAATGCCCACCTGCTCCTTGTGCAAAGTCTTTGGTGCCCACAAAGACTGTCAAGTTGCTCCTCTCACAAACGTTTACCAGCAACAGAAGGTAAATATATTTTTGTATCTCATAGTCCTCCCAGCACGTGCAGGAGCATCAACAGAAAAGTATTCTCATGAGCTTCCTGCGATCTTCCAAAGGGGCCTGTGGGTACCTCTGCCATTCCTGTGTGTGAGTGAAAGACTCACACAGATCTGTAGGAACTGTTTAGAAACACAGGAAAATAAATTTATGAGAAATCAGACAGAAAGATATTACCATGACCCAATTTTTGTTAGTACAGCGAGTAAACAGTTTAGTGATTTGATGTGAAGCTGAGGACCTCTCTTTCGAGGTTCCTAGGCTCTTTTTTCCAGTGCTTTTAGATCAGAAAAATAAGTGAGATTTCCAACACATGAACTGGAAGGAGAACAGACCATTACAAATCAAATAGTTATCTATCAGGCAGTTTTGCCTTTAAGCATCCCATTTGTAAGAAAAGTTAAGTGAAAACCTCCTCCTGCAAGTGAATGCAGGAATATTCAATAGTTGGCAGCACAGGATGTACCTAATATCCTCTGCCCTTGCTGTCACCAGTAAAAGACTTGTTTATTTTTAATACAGTATTAATTTAAAACCTGACTCACTGGGTGATCCTCCTGAGATAAACAGCTCATTTTTCTGGAGGGTCTCAGTGGGGCAAGCAATCAGACAGGCCAAGTTTGCAATCCCAGCCTCCAACTTTGTCACACAGATGCTTGTGTGTGGAAACTACAAATGAGAAGTCACTTTAGGAAAGTAGTTACAAACATCCATTTCAATCAAAAAAGGAGGGAGAAGGGGGAGAAGTTTCTTGGACCGAATCCATGCCCCTGATCACTCCCTCTGCATGGAGATTTGCAAGCAGTGGTTTCCTCCCCAGCATCCCTGTAGAAAGGGGCTGTCATGCCCAAGACTGGAGGTGTAACCTGGAGACTGCAGCATGTGCGCTTCAAAGGATCCTTTACAAAGCTGTGGAGGTCACGGACATGGTCATCTCTGTCACTACAGCGGTGTGCCAAGGGCACCTCGCCTTCCCCAGCACCATCACCAACTTCCCTAGGGACTAGCTTCTCCGTCTCTCCTCTTCTAAGGATACCTCACAGTCACCCCCTCCCCATGCTCAGGCTATTTCCTTTTTCCACTCGTTTCCCTTATGCCAGTGGCTCACCCTTTGACTTCTCATCCCCCTTTTCTCCCTTCCCCTCTCCCCACAGCCCCACTGCCCCTCCTGCCAGGGGGTCTGCAGAGCCCTAGTTCCTCCAGGTCTGTGGGCTACCTCTTCTCCTCTTCAGGGCCAAGAGCTACAGTCCTCAGGGAAATATGACAGTGGCATGGCTAGACCTAGATACTAAAAAAACCCAAGTCCTCACAAGAAAATGTCTTTTCTCTCAACAAACCCAAAGGGAATATTTGGGGGCTGTTGAAACATAGGACTTCAGAAAAACGCATTTAGAAGAGCCTTCTAGAACAAAGTGCTTCCTCCTTTCCAAACCCCAACTTCTTCAATATGTTAGTGTTTTCATAGTGTTTTGGGAGAGGAAACAGATGTCAAAGTACTAGTGGGTAACCTGTGGGCCAGTAAAGACCCAATTTTCCTCAGTTCTGGTGGAAGAAGAGCTACTACCCTGGTATGGCTCATTCGTCTCCTGCTCCCCACTGTAAGATGTGCCACTCTAAAGTAGGACAGTGTCTAACCTCCTCCCGCTTGCTCTCCCCTTGCTGCCTAGTCCGAGCTAAGTGACGGCATTGCAGTCCTGGTGGGGAGCAATGACAGAGTGCAAGGGATAGTCACACAGCTGGAGGAGACCTGCAAGACAGTTGAGGTAGGTACCATCCCTTTAAATGCAGTTATTTCAGTGTGAAGTCACATCTTTCAAACTGCTGGTAGTGATCATTCTTTAACAGACATCACTTTATCCAAATGCATTGCCGCATTGTTTCACCAAACTGTTACCTGTGGCTTTGTACAGTATCAGCTGTACTGCCTCAAACAAAGAGTACATCCTGGTCAGCACCCTGCCTCTGACATTGGCCACGTGGTTGAGTAACGATAATCCATATCAGCACATCTTGTTCAGCATTTTTAGTTGCATAGGATATCACTGAAGTTAAAAGCACATCCAACAAAATGTTATCAACTCCCAGTTCATTTAATATCTAAGATCACGTTCTAAAGCTGTAAAAGACCAGTATTAGTCTAACACCTGACTGGTCCTGTGAACAGACATAGTCTTAGCCACAGGGTACCCAAAGTGTAGATCCCAAGTATGTCAGCGAGCTCTGTATTTGGTTGCTTTGCCTCTTGTGCAGAAGTAGTTAATTGATATATATATATATGTTGCCCTTTAAGGAATCTTATTTTGTTGCTCATGGAAGGGAAGAGTTTGGGTTCTTACTCTGGATTTTCAGGTAAAGGTCTTACTCTGACAGAGCTGGAATTAGTTTTGTTTCATTCAATACCAGAAGTGGTTTTCATTTCCTCCAAGAGGCTTGCACCAGCAAAGCAAATACAAATATCAGCTCTGACCAATTTGAGCAACACAGAGCAATAGGCTGAAGGAGCTCATATGAATTGATTTTATGATCAGAGTTTGATGAAGCATCTAGTGAAGGAGTTGCATCCCTCTCAGCCCAATTAGAACCATATTGACCCTTCCAAGCCTAACCAGAAAAGAGAAAGTGCAGAGAAAAAGAAGTTAATCCAAGATGAATAGCTTCTAATTAGTAAGAAAAATTGATTCCGCAATCTACGTACACAATTGCCCAAGGCTCCTATTTCCTCAGAGCAAGGAAGAACAGAAAATGTCCAAATTTGGTTCAAAGAACATGAAATCATTAGCCCAAGTAAATGAGAGAGCATGTTAGCAGCAGTCAGAACTTTGTAGTCAGGAAGCCTTCACATTGCAAGGATGAAATTGGCTGCTATCAGGACTTTACAGACAGAAACAAGCCTTTCAAGTAGGTTAACTGCAGAAATTTGAATGATACAAGAGCAAAAGCTTATACTCATTTAAGTTGAACTAGCTGAACCAGAAACAAAACTTCAAACATCTAGTCTGAAGTATGGAGAAAACACTGTGCTAAAAATACCTTCATAAATACAACAGTTTCTGAAACTAGCTTCTTCAGAGTCATCCACTCAGTTTAAAGTCTAACCTTTGAACTCAAAGCCCAGAGAAAGTGCAGCCATTTTACCTTTAGATGTTTTAACAGGCTTTTCACCTTTAAAGTCAAAGATTGTAGAAAACAGATCTTAGAGCTTACCTTGGCACTTCCATGTTACATTTCAAGCAAATCACATTTCCGACTATACAAGAGCTTTGTCTGAATTGACATCAGTTTGTCCTTGAAGATGAAAAGCTACAGCTGGAGCTGAGAAATGTGCACACATGAAAATAATGCTTATAATCCAGAATTGTCTCTTCCCTCTCCTTAACATTTTGCAGAGAACAATAAATATCTGCTTTAGCGGAAAATACATGATCATTTTCTTTTTAGTTGGAGTAAGAAATAGCCTACAGTTTTATATTTAACTATTGCTCCTTTCGAAGCCTAAAACCCAGAAAAACAAACAAAAAAAATTATTAATACTTGTATAGGTTTTAACTGATTGAAAGGTAGACCAAATTCACATATTATACTGAAAATGGAAAAGGGTATATAAAATGCTAAATACTGGAAAACAATAATAAGTAATTAAGTACTGTTTAGCCCTGTAAACAATATGAGTCAAATAATGAAGGAAAAATTACAATGTTTCTTTCAAATGCTAATAGTGTAGGCCAGTCAATACAGATACTTCAGAACAAGCAGTGCAACTCATGCCCAGTGGCAAGGACTTCTTTCTATTTGCTGTAGCCATGCTTTAAAAAAACAAAAAGGCTGAGAACTTTTTAGAATGGAAAGTCATGTACTTGTTAACCTTTTTCATTACTCAGAATCTGATTAGGGTAATTCCATCAGGCAGAGACTTCATATGGGAATATTTTATACAGAAAGAGAATATTTCGGGAATATTTTATACAGGAAGAAAATATTTCAGAAATATTTCAGCATTTGCAGTTAGGAACATGTTTTGCACTCTTACTCTTGAGGTTCACAACTCTATCTGCTGGCAGGAAATATTATATATTAGATCTTAGAGATATGGAAGGATGTCTCAGCACCCTGCTATCACTCTCTTGCTCTTCTTCCCCTAACGCTTGTCCTGTGTCAAATGGCAAAGATAGCACACACCTGTCTTGAAATTAAGGTTGTTTTACAAGTGATCTGAATAACATTTCAGAGGAGGTCATTGTAGACTAAACTGAAGAGGAGTCTGGAGCAAGCAGAATTGCAGGAAACACTAGGCTAGGAGAGTTAGGAGAGGAGTGAAAGAGGAGAGGTAGATTATTTGAGGTCTGAACAATAGAATGACACCCAGGAACCATGACTCACTTTGTTTGAAAGCTTCCTTATCCCCACCCTGTAATTCGCTAATTAGGAATTCCTGTGAAGTGGCAAGGACCTCCAGAAGGGCAGAACAAGCCTGCCCCCTCCCCCATGAGGAGTTTTAAATTAGGAGTGCCTGTTTAGCATAGCCTTCCTCATTGCAAAGCATAGGTGGATACTTTGGTCAATACAACAAGATCTGTATTGCACCCCACCCCTCAAAATAGACAGTGATTTTTGGCCACACATCTGTCTTCGAAAGGCTTTCTTTGAACATACAGAGCAGACTGTCACTACCCGTAGGAAAAAGCTCTGGCTGAAAATCAAGAAAAAAGTGGGATTCTCTCTGGCCAAGTGCTATGAATAATCAGTCTTATCACTTCCAAAAGTACTGTGGGACTGTTAATAATCTTGCACTGCCAGGATCTCAGCATTATGCCTCAAGGGACGAAGATGAGGGATTGATTCAGCCTCAGTTCCTAGGAAAGAGATTTAAATAATCACCACCATCCACAACCAGATATAACCACAATAAGGTTATGCCCATCTGTGTGCCCCAGGGCACACAGATGACTCAAGTACTTCTATTTGGTAGACCTCAGACATTATAAATAAGATGTCTCTGATTTCCTTCTCATAAATCCTCCCTTGCAAGTGCAGTGTGTTCTTGTTAAAGAGTGCTCAGTGAAGCAGTCATCAAACCCGTCTTCCTTAGTGAAATATGCTATGTGGTCTGGTTGGAAGGACAATAAAAGTGTCTCAAAAAATGATATGAAAATCGGTGCCTGAAGGCAGGGTTGGAACCTGATTCTTCCTTCTTGTCTTTGTGCTTTTGTCACACACCATTTTCTTTGTGGTACCTCTACCTCATTCAGTGCACAGTAAATGGAATATAATGGACACCTATTGTCAAAATAGAATCTAAGAGAGCATATGTGAAAATTAAGCCCAGCCAGGATAGTTCCAAGTTCTCTGGTAGAAAAAAGAAAATTCTCCAGAGCTGATTTGATATGATCTCTCCTTTAAAAAACATTCTGTTTGTGCAAATGAACCCAGCTGCTAATATGGTGAGGTTGTTTACTTTTTCTGCAGACTTTGATGTATCACTACAGACATCATAAATACCGTTCACAATTTTTTAGCAGACTGACAAGTTATACAATCACCTGTTTGGGGGCTTTCAGTGGTTTGAGACCCAGAGTTTGAGAACAGTTTTTAAACTTTTGTTCCAATAGCTTGGACTTTGAAAATTATAAAAGTCTCTGGGGTCATTCAGAATCCTTTGCACTGTTCAGAAAGAGGAATTTCTTTGATGAAAATGCTTCCAAGTAACTGTAAAAATAGAAATGCTTTTAAGAACATAACGTGTTTAACATAAACCAAATTATTCACAGGAAAGTTGCAGACGACAGAAAGAGCAGCTGTGTGAAAAATTTGATTATCTCTATTCTGTACTGGAAGAAAGAAAAAATGAGATGACACAAATAATCACTAGAACCCAAGAGGAAAAACTGGAACACGTCCGCTCCCTGATGAAGAAGTATGCGGATCATTTGGAAGCTGTGTCAAAGCTGGTTGAATCAGGAATCCAGTTCATGGAAGAACCAGAAATGGCCGTGTTTTTGCAGGTATAAAGTCTATAAATAGAGCTAGAAAAAGAGCGATGGGTTTATTGAAATACTATTTAAGCATTTCTCAATTTTAGGCACATTCAGAGTTTGGTCATCTTTGAGTGAACATTTATACAAACTCATTTTTTAAACACTTGCATCAGCATAGACAAATGAATAGTCTTCTCGTGAATAGTATCCAAACCAAGAACGTGAGTATTTGCTATTTGCACCAAAGTATACTACTCTGTGTATGAATTTCTGGCTACCAAAGAAGAAACAGGAATTTCAACATTTTCCAACATATTATAGAATGGTTTGAGTTGGAAGGGACCTCAAAGATCATCTAGTTCCAACCCCCAATATCTTTATTGTCCCACACTATAATATACGTGTATATGAACTTTTGTGAGTTATAGCTTTCATTTGCATATTGGCAGAGTGATAAACTTTCCAAGAATTAAATATTCATGTTCTAAGTCACATTTTTATGCCTTTAGTTCATTTTTTTCCTTCTGTTTTCTTATTATAAACTTAGGAGAGCTGAGTAGGAAACCATTAGCAGTCTGTCCACTGAATTCACTGGTGTACATTTTCTGTCCTGCAAGTTTACAATTCCTCTCTATTAAAGACTGAAAGGTTGTTTTCTATGAAAAAAAACCCCACTTATTTTCATCAAAGAATTACTTTTGAAGAGTATAATATTCTTTCCAGACAAATAAAATTTTGTGGCTCCAGAAGTATGCCCTTATGGATAGTCAAAGATATAGTTACTGTGACTGAAGATTGTGATAGAACAATTACTTTTCTCCACAAACACACACAAAACAAGAGCAAAAATATTTCCATTTAATTTTTGTAGAAATTGCACGTATTTCCCGTCATATTCAGATTTTAATTTAAAAGTCTTCAATGAACTAAAAGGTTTACTCAGCTGTATACTACTTACCATCCAAATTTGATCTCATTATAGATCTCATGGTGGTCATTTATGAGATCCATATTAGTGCGTTTAGAAACAGCCAGTATAACAATTAGATCTCAATGCATAAAATCTCTGAAAAAATTGAACCATTTAAGAAGTTAGTTATTTCCTTTTTGTTTTCACAGAATGCCAAAACATTGCTACAAAAGTAAGTATTTAAATTTGATACTCTTGATCTTTGTAATGAATTACAAATTACAAATTTTATCTGCAAATCTAAATGTCAATAACCAATATCTCTGGTTTAGAATTACTGAAGCATCTAGAGGATTTCAAATGGAAAAAATAGAGGATGGGTATGAAAATATGAACCAATTCACAGTGAACCTCAGTAGAGAAGAAAAAATAATACGAGAAATTGATTTTGATAGAGGTATGTCATTTATTTCACCTAAATTGCTTTTTAAAATTGCAACTGTGTGTAATTTACATGATGATACCGAGTAGGAAAACTTGAACAAGATATTTCTCTCCATCCCAAAGTGTAACTAGATCATTTTGTATCAATTATAATCAAAAGCAAAAATCCATCACAGTTAAAAAAAATCACATAACCTGTTGCAACCATTAATCTTACCTTTTAGGTGGCCTCAACACTTTCCTAAGCTCGTGACCTTTACTGACTCCTCATGTGAAGGGACCACAAAATTAAGCTCTTATCTCAGTCTGTAAAGTCCTTTTTCCCCAAAAGATGCCATTATTGTAGAGCCTGTCTACTCTAGAAAGTCATTAAAGAAACAGAATGTTTACTACTAAAAGAAGTACTTATGAAAGATACTTTTTTAAACTTTTTTAGTAATAATCTAGAAATGTAACAGACGTACAATCGAAATTCAAGATCACAGAGTTATAGAGGGAAGCAAAAATTGTCATCATCTTTCATGCATTTAACATCTTGTGTCATGTCATTTGCTGTGATATCATGACTAAACATGTTTAATTTCTATATAATAACACAAAGTTGTAATTTTACATTTACCAAAGCAGCCTGAAATCTAGGTTTATCTATGCTTTACATTACAGCGTAAGCCACAAGAATTTAATGGAGGTAAATGTTTCAAATAAGCAGATGTCTCCTCTTAAAAAGCAGCAGTAATACTCATTTGGATATCTCTAGTTTTCTTGCTAGCACTGGATTCTGCTTGTACATTTACATTTACCTTTATCAGCCCAGTTAAGCCTCATGCAGATGCTTACTCCCCTGCCACTACTTATACCAATTTCAGAGTGCGTGGCTGCTCCCCGTGAAGGACCCTGTATGCCTGCTGCACAGATCTTGGTCCGTAGGTTGGGATCCTTGGACTAGCTGTACTTGGCACAGGGGCCCGTGTAGCGGGACAGCAGCTGTGGCACCAGTCAGCAGCAGAGGAGCAGGTGTTATATTGCAGGGCCATGAACCTCCAGGGATTTGTCCTGGGAGGGACAGCCTCGTGCTTGGTTCCTCCCTGTGATCGGCTACAGCTGCCACATCCCTGCCACACACGTGCATCTGCCAAGATCGTGACCTTGTGCTCCAGGCACACACCCCCACTATGTGATGGGGAATGTGACACCCTTGGGGACAAGGCATTAGTAAGGGCTTTGCCAATCAGGAGTTCAGTCCTGTATTTGAAACTCCTACTACAGTCAATGAGGTCCTGTGCAGTCAGGGGATGTGGAAGCAGAGATTCAGCACTCTGCTTGTAGGAGTGTATTTGTCTGCAGAAAAGTTTCTCCATTATAAGGGCATTACTTCATTTGCAGATTTACATTCCATCTACATACTCAGACAGAACCATAACTTGTGCAAAATGTGCAGCCAATTTGGAGCTTGGGTTAATGCATCCATCTCTATTTCTCTGAAGTGCTAGGATGGCTCTGAACAACATCCGACATTTGTGAGGATGAGTAGTGTGATTATGTAAAGGAAAATGCATTGTTAGAGGGCTCCCTCTGGAAATGGGCCGAGCCACAAATGCTAACAACAGGATGTGTCAGATGACGCAAAAGCAACGGCTTGACCAAGTTTGACAGTCTGGTTTTAGGGAGGTTGGTGTCCCAAACCTCCAGTCATATATTGCAAAGCACTGACCTGGCAAAGATTTGTTATGATGACTTCAGTGGTGTTTACAACAAACATATACATAAAAGTGCAAGAGGGACTTTCTTCCTGGCAGATTGTGCCAGACCAGGTATCCTCTCCCCAAAAAGTGCATGGCTGTGCTGCACATCCCTCATGAAGACAACTGCATTGACAGGACTTTCTGTCCTCCTTCCCATGGAAAGGGCCAGCTGAAGATTTTAACAAGCATGTGTGTTCGATGTCCTTCCTGCTGCAAAGTACCTGCTGGAAGCTCCATGGCAGTGCCCAGTGCAGGCTGGTGGGAGCGTGGTGCGCTCTCCCCAGCCTGCATCCTCTGCCAGTATCAGTAGCTTTGCCGTGCAACTGTAAATGGCTTTCTAATTACATAAAGTTTGTAGCCATCTTCATTTGGTTCTCAGCCCTGTCCTTTTACATGTGTCCTGTTAGAGGAGGAGGGGGAAGAAGAAGAGGAGGAGACAGTGGATGGTGAAGATCTGGATGAAGTCCACACAGAGTCATCAGGAGAGGAGGAGGAGGAACATGTGGAGGAGGAAGGGGCTGAGAGAGCATCACAACCACCTCAGCAGGACCCTGAACCACAGAGTGCAGCGGGAGAGCCCCCGGCTGAACGCCCCACGGCGCTGCTGCCCGCCGCCCCGGCTGGTCAGGTAACTGCCCCCATGTCCCACTGTCCTACCAACTATGCTGAGTGCACCCCGGCAGAGCAAGAACACGCTCCCCTGTGGCCTATAGGCACCATATGTCAGGAGCACAGCTAAGGGAGTCGATGCACTGGAGAGCAAAATTTATTGCCCTTGTACACATATATGCAACTGTATCCTGTCCTCATGACCTGCGTATATATTGCTTAATAGGCAAAAAATTACCCTGCTAGATAAACTGAGATATATATGGGATACGTAAGATATAAATAAAAGAGATTCAGTTTGGGAGTTAAGCACATTACAATGGATGTTCTGCTTGCTGTGATTTAACACAGACTAACTGTTATAAATGAAATGGTTGTTAAAATATTTATACTAAGAGAATTTGGCATTCCCTCTGGATTTAGTGAGCTTTCCACCACCAATTTTTAGATCCTACTTCTAATCTGTTTTCTGCTCTAGTCATCCTAGTATTCTTATCCAGGCAGATGCAGGGATATCATACACCAAACAGAAGAGGAACCTTATAACCTACCAGCAAACAGATTCAGGGTGTGAGTAATTTAGGCCAGCACTTTTTCTTAAGGAATGTTATATATAACTGTAACTGTCACATATTCTAAAAGACCTACATAAAAACTTATACTTCATATGCCACTTTAGCTGCCTGTGGTGGGTTGACCCTGGCTGGGGGCCAGGTGCCCACCAGAGCCG